AGCACTGTCTGACGCGTCTGCCTCCGCGACCCGAATGGAGAAGCGGCGATGGAAGAAGAAGAAGAAGATAATGACAGATATTTCCGTTTCTTACTTCGGAGGGACGTAGAAGTAGTACGTGAGTGTAGAAGCAGGAGACGCGCCATCACGCCGAATTTTTATATAGTGAGTATCCTAGAGATGCCAGTAATGCTATTTAGTACTCCCATCCTATATGTCATTCAAAAATTATCCCCCTTGGCTATTAATCATTTTCCGTTGAGAAGGCATATCGTAGAATGCAAAGATTACACTTTACTACGTGGGTTTTATTCAAAAAAGGGCTTGTAGTCAAAATGCGACTCTCATCGTGAAGGCTGTTTATAAAAGCATAAAAAACTGTCAATTTCTGTTGACAGTAAGGTCAACCCATTATGTTCCGAGACGACCAGGAGGACGCGGGTGCTCTAGTGGAACCCTATTAATGACTGGACGAGCCGCACAGTCAACCCATCTTCTGTTAGCGTCGTAGTAAGCAGAGAACATGTCTACTAATTCAGATCGTTAACAAGGCTGTACGCTCGGGACGTGATTCCGGGTGGAGACGTTGAACGTTCTTCATCTCATCGTTTTTTGCGTAACCACAAGCTTGATCTTCTTCGCTTTGGTAGTTGACCATAATTAATTGCTGTACTGCGTCGTGGACGGTAGAATGGATCGATAGAATTGTTCTTTCTTCGACTGCATGGGCAGCTGACGGCCGTGTAAAACTGGCCCATGCCGCCTTTGTTCTTCTTCTCATTTTCCACTGTGACAAGTTCATGCGGTGGACATGAACGTAGCAGGAGACTCCTTCCAGTTTTCGCCATTCCGATAGACACGGATCAAGTGGCAATGCTCGTTTCGAATCCATTTCGTCTTGAAGAGGTTAACCTTCAATCCAATGGTGAGGAATTCCGCTTGCAACTGCTAGATCTTCTGTTGCAGCTCGGTCTTGCCTCGTACGAAGACCACGCAGTCATCCGCAAATAGCAGTCTGATAACTGCTTTTCATCAATACTGACACCGTTGCGCAAGTTCATCCTTTTGAAGAGTGACTCCAAAACCACGGCGAAGAGTTCCGATGAGGTGGCATCTCCTCGGCGCACTTCTGTGTGACGTGGTATCGAACTTCGATGCACATTTCCGGATGAAGCGAGAGATTACTTCAAGACCATGGAACTGTAGTTTCATGGCGTTTCCGGCCGAGGGCTGCCTCTGTCGTGAGAGTGGCTGTCTCAAAGCGCCGTCATCATTTGATTACTTTTGTAGTGTCGTTGGGAGCGTTGATTCTGCTGCATGCATTGAAGCATACACTGTGTATGAACTTAGTTAATTGGCGATGTGGCTCGGCGACGACCTGCCTTGATTTGTTTCCTAATGAGTAGTAGAACAACCCACGGGGGTTTTTGTGACCAACATGCTTTCACGCAGTGTCTCATAATATGGTAGTCGTTAATTTAGAGAATCAGTCTACCGACTCCATTTTAAATCGATGTGCTGTGCTAACCTCATCGGTGAGGAAAGGCAGCGACCATTACGCAGTGGTTAGACAGTGGGTGAGGCTCAGCCGACGGCATATTTCAAAGTACGATGCAGTCGCATTTCACAGACCTCGACTACGTAGACAATATCATTCTGTTAAGCGATGCCGGAACCCAACCAGAGCTGCAGACAGAATCGAGGAATCGATTCAAGCCACTGCCAAAAACAGCGGGCCTTCCATTCAACGAGTAAAGACGAAAGTGATCAGGAAGGCAGAAGGAACAGTGGCGGCGCATATATCGTTCAGTGGGAAGCGGCTGGCTGATACTAATAACTTTAAACACGTGCGCTCTACCATTACACATAACAGCAGAGGCAGAAATAACGGAAGAATTGCTCAAACGACGGCAGCCTAGGAGGCCCAGCGAAAGTTTAACGTCGAAAACTTACAAAGGCATGCCGAATAAAGACGAAAATACCTCCTCATCGATCCTCCGGATTCTCCGCGCTATTTAGAGAAATTAGAAACAGCTGCATTTCTTAGAGAAGACACGTACCATACTGAACGTCTTCCAACAAGGGTGCATGCGCAGCCTTTAAGCATAAGCTGATATCGTAGAGTAATAAACATGGAATTGGTGTATGAGGCTGATTTGTGAGACTTCATGGCACAATAAGCAAATGCTCGTCATCGGTTGCTGACGAGACGCTCGTAGAGAAATCTAGTTACATAAGCTGCCGTTTTTGAGACCAGTGTCGAAAGTTGAAAGACACCTTTCAGGCAGATCTGCTAATGATTATGAACGTTTGTTGCGCGGATGCAATGAAACGAGCTTAAAATCATATTATTACGCTTATCGCCCCGCGGCATAAGTTTAAATACTGAAGTCCGTGGCACAAGTCCGGTAGTTTCCGGATATTATATCCAAAATAAGAACTAGTCTTGTAAACCTATCAGCCCCTGAGTTTTGTTATGGCTGAAAAGGGGAACACGTAATCACCGGTCTGTTGGTGTAGTCAAAAAGATGAACCTGTCTCATCTAAATTATGGTAGTCTGTCTCTGCTTTGTTATGACGAAGAGAGGCAACTCCGTTTTTTCAAAACCACGGTGCTTCAAATAAGAACCGTAAATGTAGCACAGTGGTATCGATGTGAAGGTATGACTTGGTAAGAAAGTATTATGGCACAGTAGTGATCATAAAACGCAAGACATCGGGCGCAGATATGATGCTTAATTAGAAAATTTCAGATTACTGTTTTTAAAAGTCCAGAAGCCTATATGCAAGTAGGAAAATTCACGTTTAGATAATGTTGCGAAGAAGGATTGAAATCAGATCAATGCACGATTGTTGATTGGCATAATTAATAACGCGAAGTTTCTGTTGACTTTGTGATAAATTTGCACATTGATTGAGAGCTTAAAGCTAACGTGAAACTAGATGAAACATTTCAATTTCTGACACCGAATTTACTCGGCACGAGCGTACTGCCATTTTGCTTTTAGTCACCCACAAGGATCACTTCACCAAGCCAGAGCTCCATCGCATTTGGCACCTGCAGTGCATTGGATGCAGGACCGTATCTCTGAATTGGGCTGAACGAAGATGCGTTCCATTACCAACCATATAAGCCGTTATCCGTAGGAAAATATACAGACGAAATAAAACTCAAATGTTCAGAGGTAATTATCACATAGCAGCTTTTCAATTCAATCCATAATCATAACTAAGTGACTGAAAGATGCAGGTGTCCCCTCACACCAGTAAATTCGGCATCAGAAATTGAAATGTCATCCTTAGCGATAGAACTGGAAAGCTACTATGTGGCAGTTACCGCAGGGCATCAGGGTTATATTCTATAGAATTGCTTACGGATGATGGCCGATTAAAGTGGCTTTCGATCGCGTCTTTGTTAAATGTAGCTCAAACATGTGGTCCTGCATCGCTTGGACTGCAGGTGCTCCAATACCTTGGAACTGTAACTTGTTTACTTGCCCCCCTTCACCTAGGCGATAGGAAGCACGGAGGAGGTGCCCATATGCACAGTTAACAGGCATTAGAAATTGAAATGTTATGATTACCGGTAGGAGCTACACGGAAACATCAGAGTTGTGTTTTATGTACGGATGAAATTTGCTTTACACGTCAAAAACAGCGCAGGTCCGTTTTGCCACAACAAAGGACATCTGCTAGAATATGCGGAGGTACTCGAGACGTACTGCGGATAGTTTACCAGATAGAATAGCCAAAACGTTAATTCCTATCATGAACTAATATGCAAAATGATTCACTGTTCGTTCTGACCGGTAAAAATTTCCTGAATCGAGACAATAACTTTTAACCTTTTCGTGTGAATCACTAGTTAAACTTAGTTATCCATAAACAGCATCGCCTGCACAACGTAGAACGC